CACACACCAACACACACACACACACACACACACACACACACACACACACACACCAACCCCACCCTGACCCCTTTTTTTCTTTGTTTGTTTTCAATTTTTGCATCTTAATTTTTTTTAAACACCCGATTTCCCGACACAAACCCGAAAAACATTTCGCAAAAAATACAGGACAACTCAGCGACCATGTCCCTCGTGATAAAAAATGACAAAAAAAATTCCTGCGTTTCTTTTTTTTTTTTTTTAATTTGTTTAAATCGATTTTCGTTTTCTCATTTTTAAAAAACCTAAAACGAAGTCGGATTCCAAAATAAAAATATAGGATTGTAGGGTTTTCCAAGCCCTACAACCCGAATTATTTATATTTACGTATTTTTAGGGGTAAAAAAAAAATATTAAAAAAACATTCCACGGATTGGCTGCAGCCTAGGCGGACTTTTTCGGCCCCGGCGGCCGCGCCCTAGGCCGCGGGTGTCACGTTTATCCAATTTATGCTTCGTGATTATAAGGTAGCGCTTCATGAGCGGGGTGTTTCCCCCGTTGTAACTTTTCATAACTGACACAGTTTGACACTGCTTTCAATGCGTGTCTCTCTAATTGTCTTGTGCTATCACGTTTGCACATGTACATTGGCTATATTCCTGGTTAGATACCGCTCTCCGACACCACCCTCCACTTACCAGTCAGTGGTAATTGTTCCGGTACCTTCTAGCCGTAAATACTAAATGGTAAATAACGTGCACAAGACGGAGAACGAGAGAAAACACACACCAAAGTCGTACACTGTAACTCCCGGGTTCGTGGCTTTTTAAAATGATGAATCGAATACCAAAAACAACGTGAGGGCAAAGGGACCGCCAAAACAGCATAAGCTTCCTAAGAGTATAGGATGGACACACCACTGCATTTTACAACTAGACAGCACAATCACAAATTCATAATGGTGACCTCTATTATCGCTATCAGCTATGACCCCCTTCGGCCATAGCTATGTATCCCTTCGGCCATAGCTATGTATCCCCTCCGCCATAGCTATGGCTATGTATCCCTTCGGCCATAGCTATGTATCCCCTCGACCAGCAGCAATAGTGAACTCGAAAAGAACAGAGCAGCAGCTTGACGGTGAAAATGTGGGCCCGCATTAATGACGTGGGACTTGCTAGAAAGCTGTCTCGTGGTGACACTTTGTCATGGAGCCATGTGGCAGGCATTTTCAGTCCATCCTCTCTGTTGTATGAGTCCCATAATAATCCGCCTCCACGTTATGCACTGAGTAGTTCAGACCAAAGCGTGGGGGCAGCCTGACGGTCCGTGAAAGTGCTAAGGCCTACAAGGTCTCCCAGACGGCAGCTGTGAGAGCCGCTACTGCTATCGGGAAAGGATAAATGGAAGGTACGGCCCATCACAAAACCTACAAGTTGGGTTAGTCATGGCTGAAGTCTTCCTATTATTAGTTGCAGCCGACCTGGCAGTACGCGCAAATAACAGGGCCTACCAGAAAACTAGTATGGTGCAAATACAGAGCCAGGTTCTTGATCAGGTAGAAAGAGGCTAAGCGGATATTATACTATACATCATTGAAAGTCTAAATTTCTCTAAAATGCCCTGGGCAGTGAATGCTTTGTACACAACCAGAAAACTTGGGGCGTGATAAACCCAATAGGTTTTCGGGGGGGCTGTATCTACGAATTATATCATCGTGTAACACTCTCTTGTATTTCATTAGGGTCAACAAGATCCCTCTGTGGGCTTTGGACGTCATCAGCTTCCCTGTCAGGGCCATCCGCCCTATGGCCCCTATCCAAGGAAGGACCGTCAGAATTTCTTCGTGGTCTCCTAACTAAATCTTGCCTCGGCGAGCCAGTAGGCGAAGCATCCGCCTCCTGGTTGCCTGTGCCATTTTCCACGACGATGGCAGGCCCCTGCTCTGGACAAGGATTCGATCGAGTCACGTTCCAAAGCAGCTGAATGGGTGTGCTGTCGCCCCCCTGCCCATCTGTGTCCGTGTCCAGCTGTGGATAATTCCTCCTTAGCCAATCACACAGCTCATTTCGAGACGACTGCACCGTGGCCTTGGATGGAAACAAAGCATCCTCCTCAAGCTCCTCCTCTGTGGGATCACTCATCTCAAGGACGAGAGGAGCGATTGTCGTCAACACCTCGATCAGCGTCTCTCTAATCTCTTCGTTGCAGCTTGCCTCCAGCTGAGAGAGCTTCAAGCGCACGTCCAGCCTGACACATGGCTTGATGAGCAGTTTCACCATAGGCGGGAAGAAGAGCGTCAGCAGCCTAGGATTGAGATCGTTCAGGCAAGTCTCGAGAACGCGATCGACCACACGAATTGCATTCCTGGTCCCCAGGAGAGAGTTCAGACTCCGTTCAAACGTCTCCATGAGCTCCTTCCCACCGCTTGTGCACGCCGGCTCCAAGTCCTCGAACATGCCGAACGCTGGGCGCCAAGCCGGATTGCCCAACGACTCCCAGAAGAGAAGTATGAACCGAGCTGTGAGTGTTGACTTGGTGTCTGAGAGGTATCGTCTGATCCCGGACCAACAACTCCCGCATGAACCCCCCACCCTGCTGACTTCACTTAGCTTTGTTCGATCCCAGAGAATCAAGGTTAAGCTCTTGAAAAGAGAGAGGAAAAATGGACGACTTTGCCCGGGGTCGTCCGGTAGAATCCTTCGTATTGGTTCACGACGTGGTTTGCCGTCGACAGTGATTAACCGAGTCACGCGCCCTGTAGCCCGTGAATGGAAAACCGGTTTCCGAGTCGATCGTTGTGCTGAGTTCACTTCGCGCAGCTCGTATCCATCCCTGTCAAATTCGGACTTCACGCGGTGAGCTCTTCCAGGGTTTTTTTGTGTGGATCTCCGCCGAGCACTGCGAGCAGTCGTTCTTCGCCGAAGTCGTGATGGAGGCTCAGACATGTCACAGCTCTCCGCATCCCAGTCAGCACCTGCACGGCAGGCTTCGCGCCACAGTACGTCAAAATCGCTGACAGCGTGACCAGTGGGTGGCAGTTCTGGCCGAGAGTGTGACAGAGGTTCAGACATGTCACAGTTCTCCGCCTCCGCGTCCCAGCCACCACCTGCACGGCAGGCTTCGCGCCATAGTACGCTAAAATTGGAGACAGCGTGACCAGTTGGTCGCAGTTCTGGCAAAGCTCGCGATGGAGGTTCGGACATCACACAGCTCTCCGAGTCCCAGTCAGCACCTGCACGGCAGGCTTCTCGCCACAGTACGCGATAATCGCAGAGAGCGTGACGAGTCGGTCTCCGTCCTCCCACTGTCGAATCGGATAGGGTCGTAGCCAATCTACAATATTGCTCGTCTTCTGCCCTTCGCATGAAACGGTCGGGGAATGTTTGACAAGTCGGTCGCCCTCCTCCAACCGACTGCCCGTGTGCATTTCTCTTGGGCCCCTTGCCTTGAACTCCCTTGAGTCCAAGCAAGTCTGCTACTCCCCTGACCTTAAGCAAGTCCGCCAGCAGTCCTGCAGCTGATGCTGAACACAGGTGTGCATAATCGTCCGGGCCAATGGTCCTGTTGCTGACCTGGGCTCTTGCGGAGTAACGAAGTATAACCCGATTGAAATCCTCTATCTTCACGAAGATGCGAAGAGCGTGCGTAATGCTCAAATGACTGTTGAGCATCAATCTGAGACAAGCGAGACCTCCTGGCGATTCTGCAATCCGCTGCTCGATGACATGTTTTCTCTTTTCTCGGGCATCTTGGAACAAATCGCGGAGACATTCAATCGTCTCGCTAGCGAACCAGTCCAGCTCCCTAGTGCCCAGAGCCCGCCGCCAGTAGATAAGGCAGGCTGTTAGAATCTCCGCGATAGCAGGGTAGGCGCGTCGAATCTTTTGGGAGATGATAATCTTGGCCAAGTGGAGCTGAGAGAGGACAGAAAACTCTGGCTCGTGTACTGCTAAGCTCAAGAGGTCCTGCAGGCTGCTTACAATCGTTTTCCTGTGCTGGGCACGGATGGTGTTCACCGGACGAGGCAAGTCCTCCATCCTCTTGTCGAGACGATGCCAGTAGATCATCCTGCGCGACCATATCGAGGAGAGAGTGCGTATACAGTCGGCGACGATACTCAGCGACACGTCGTTTCGTGCACATCGGAGCAAAGCTCCCACTGTCCTCGGTTCACACAGGACGGATTGCATCGCCTTCACCCAGACGTCGTTGGCACTTCGGAAATCGGGTACGGCGGTGCGGAGGAGCCAGCCTACTGGACATACTGCCGTGAACGCATAGCATAGGCTGGCCGCGGAGCGGAAAGCGTCACGGCTTAGCAATTTTTCAGCTTTAGGACGGTGCACGATCGCGTGAATATCGCTGACAGCCTGACTGAAGGAACAGATGGCAGATGCAGCGGCCTCTTGGACTCGCAGGGTGCTGTTGTCCACCATATCTTTCGTCGTCGTAGCATATGGTCTCAGAAGACGCAGCAGTACGTATACCAAGTGTTTCGTGCAGTGCGCGAAATCGTCGTCGCTTAGCAGGTTAAGAATATAACGTGTGTCTCTACCGCTCCAATAGGGTTGCCATGGGAGTATCGAAAGACCGGCAGCAAATCCGGCGAGGATCCGAGCGGCCAGTTCCGCGTCCTTTGAATTCGCCCGGGAGTAAATCAACACTCGGAGCATCGCGGGATAGCCGCCGGCTTGGGCAAAGTCTCGTCCTGCATCTACGTCATGCCTACAACGACTTGTCTGCGGTATGTCCTGTGTGTAACAAGGGGTCTGATTGGAGACGAACAACTGGCAATTTCGGCACGTCTTGCATGCCCTAGACAGATGAAATAAGGATTCCAAAGCCGTCGTTAACTTCTTACCCGTCGTAATCTCTCCTCCCAATAGGCCTTCTCCCACCAGACGATGCTCGTCTCTCAAAGTGGGAAGTTGGCTTTGAACCATGCCCACCAACTCCTTCACACTATAAAACCAGTATCCTGGCAGACCGCACTTTTCTTTGCTAGCATGCGCCTCCTCTGCACCGAACTCTAAGTGACGATGCAAATGGACATACCATGTCACCCCTGCCTCCATCTCCCTCTGCACCCGATCTAGCTTCTCCAAAAACAGACCTTCGCTGTCCCACTGATGCTGTAAACCTGCTGGGACTTCGTGTTGCGGAGGCCCAACTGGGACAGATTCACATCGGAACAAGCGCCCTGCGAGTGATTTACATCGCCCAAATATGTTATAGCCGAGAGAAAGGAACACAAGAGAAAGAACAAAGACGGAATGTATCAGCACGCAATAGAAAACGAGTATCAGAAATTCCTTCAGACGCCATAGACCCCACTCAACAGCGTAGTCCCTGTGACGTTTGAGCTCATTAACAGATTTATAGATTTGAAATCCCAACACTATCTCACCAACCATAGCTAGCAACCGGATGGCTGCAATCGTATGCACGAAGGCGATGGTCGAGTCAAATTTACCGCCCAAGACATGGAACGTCGCCAGTTTGAATCTGGCCGACTTGCCCTGGGCGGCTGCGACCTGAACACACGACATGCCCCGGAAGCAAACCCTATAGATGAACCCTCGCAGAACTTTCGACGAACCTTCTATAATTATCAGCCCCACGCAGCTCCAGAGAAAAACAGCCGTCATAAACTGCCCGAAGCCACCAACCGCCATTGTCACGATAGTCAGTAATAGATAACCTATACTACTCTCCACGTACTCAACCGCGCTGTATATTTTCACCTGCTTCTTCACGCTGGGAAGGACAGTGTACACCATATTGCCCACACTTCACACAATCTCTCTCTCTCTCTCTCTCTCTCTCTCTCTCTCCTGTCTCTTATACACATCTAGATGTGTATAAGAGACAGGGCTTACTCCGCCTAACTCAGGCTCGCACTTTGCGCAATCGCGGACCGGAACTTACAAGCACCGAGAAAGAGACCCCATTTATCACACTCTTCCGACTTGCAGACGCTGGAAGGCTCCAAACGGAATCGTATAAAAGATAGCTACGTATGGGGCAACTGGAATAGATGCCGTATTACCATCCCGGTTCTATCGCTGGGGAACCAACCAAGATAGACAGAATAACTGCGTACACGCGCCATACTCGCACGTCTGATCGCAACTAACACACTATCACGCTTCACCGTACTAACGGGATCATCCTCACATAAGTCCTAAATTTACCCTCATGTCAATCCTTATCCACATCACTCGTTACCCCGATATAAACTCGATCTGACTCTATACGACTCGCACATCTCGCAGGCAAATATTAACCTCTTTACTCGCGAGAAACGGACATTCCTTGCATCGAGGAAAGAATCATATCACGGTATTATCACCAAAGAGGAAACCATTCGAAACATCCATGATACAATCGATCGCAAAGTCTCTTGGCTTAATTTCACGAAAATGCAGACTGCAAACAGCAGAATCACTCGCCACTTTTGACGTTTCAAACAACAAACGAATACGAGCTCGTCTCCCTCGAAACTTCAAAGAAAAACTTCGAGAACCAAATTATAGCAAACTGTCCGACATCCGAATGAAAAGAAACGCAGAACAAACGCAGAAGAAAGCAGAGGAAACGCAGAGCGCAGGTAGCAAGTAGAAGTCTCGGTCACTTGCTTCTTCTTCTACTGGCTATCGACATAGCAGATTGATCGTGTGAGCTGAACTGTTAGCGTTCCCACCTCGCTTACACTGCTCAAAGTAGTACCTTTCTTCTGCGCCATGGCACGGCTTCCTCACTTTTATATATCTCGCAGTCTGTTCACTGTGGACAGCAGCGCTCTTTCGGCAGCGTCGACGTGAGATCCTCCTCGAGACAAGACGCCATCGACGAGTGTAGAAGTTGCAACTAGATTGGAGATGGGGCGGAGGACGCTGGAGGGTAAGGAGACTTAGCACCCTTCCTACCCAGCTTTAGGGGCATGTTAGAGGAGTACAGAAGACTTCCTACGCGTGGTTAGGGAAGCAGAAGGGAAGGGCAAGAGGTTTCCCGCGAGTGCTTTGGGAAGCAGGAGCGTGCGAATGGCCACCCGCGCATACTTCAAAGCAGGAGAGGAGTGAGGGAGGCTTCCCAGCGGGCGAGGAGAAAGCTCCGCGCATTTGTCGGACAGCAGGAACTGCCAGGAAGCAAAGAGAGAGGCTATGCCAGTGCAGATGGGAGCAAGCCACCGTCCGCTTTAGCGTAACACCAGGGGAAGATGAATGGGGCTCAAAGTGGGAGAGCGTTGCACACCAGTTTCCGACAAGCAGTTGAACCGGAGAGCCACCCGGGCATACCTCAAAAGTGGGAGAGGAGGGAGAGGAGGGAGCCTTAGGGAGGGAGGCTCCATACAGGGAGGAAAGAGAAAGGCTATGCTGGTGCAGGGGTCTCGGCCCACATGCGGTAGTGTAGAGTAGGTGCGACCCCCGGGGGATCCCCTGATCAGCGCTTGCGCAGGAGATCGAGCGGCTTAGGATCTCTCCCGCCTTTTAGTCACGGTTTTGGGGCAAGTGACCTGTCATTGGGTCACACGACCACCACTTCCTTCTTCCCCGGAGTACAACGCGCGGTTGTTATAGCTGTGTTTGTAGCATCTTTCCGTTTAGATACAGCTATAATGACAGTACGTTGTGTTCAGGGGAAGAAGGTACGAGGGAAACGGAGTGGGCCGTGTAGAAAACTAGGGACTCGTTGCCTCGGTAGTTTTCCACACGGCGTAGTCCTCTGCGAGTCATTTGCGGTAGCTCGTGCTCGTGGGCTGCGGTTCTGGCGCAGACAGTGCCACAGGATCTTTCCACTGTGCTGAGTAGTAGGCGCATCCACAAAGGGCAAAAATCAGGGCGGTGTATCTTTCCAGGTTCTAGGGACGATTCAGGGCCTCCTCCACTACTCTCAAAATGGGCAAACGAGAGTGAGGGCCTTGCTGCACTACTCTCCAGAGTCTCCACATGCAAAAACTATGGGAAAAAGTCATAAAACCTCCCCGTGACGAAGCCTTTGTACCAAAAAAAAAAAAACAAAAAAAAAACGAAGCCTTGGTATCCACTTCCCCCCAACGGGGGAAAAAAGTGCGTCAGGTACAAAATCACTTCTGGCGTCATTTTTGCACCCTGGCTGTGCCGGTAACGGCCACTGGCCGCTGTGTAAAAATGACGGGAAAGTGTTTTGTAGGGTGCAAAAATGACTCGGAAACTGATTTTGGGGCCTGCGGCACCTTTTTCCCCGATTGGGGGGAAATGGATACAAAGGCTTCATTGCAGGGAGGTTTTATGACTTTTCCCAAAACTATGGCCCTCGCTCAACTACTCAAGACTCGCAAAAAAAATTGAGTGCTTCTAGAGCTGTCAGACCCCTAACACTCTCGAAAAAAGAGGCCTCTTTCCACTTACGGGCTCGCCACACAGCCTTTTGAAAGGCGCAAAATGAATGCCGCGCGCATCTTCGCCGCACAGGCTTTCGAAAAACTTTCGAAAGGTACAGAGACAGGGGCATCGGAAGTACTTTCGGCCTTGTACTTTCGCAAGGGTTTGCAAGGGCAAGATCCGCCCGCGTTTCTTCGAAAGGGCGTGAGTGGTCTACCCGAAAAGACCTATTTGTGGAGGGGAAAAAAAATGAAAAAAAACAGGGGTGTTTACAAAAGCCTCTAAAAGCACAAACGACAAAAATCATGGTGGTGTATCTTTCCATGTTCAACGGGAAGATTCACACCCTCATTTTGCACATGGCTAGCCAGGCCCTAATGTGCGTATTGAAAGCCCTCTCTGTTTCCAAAAGTCTGTGTGGCGAAGGGGAGTTTTCTTTCGAAAGTACTCCAAATCCGACGCGTTGCAGGATGTGAACTCTAGATGCTTCGTGACTGCCCTTCGAGAGTTCTTTCTGACAGCTCTCAAAGGGTGTTTTCGTGCGCTGGTGTCTAGTCTAGAATAAGTGGAGCGAGAGGCGTCACTCATGAAAAGTCTAGAGAGTAGTGGAGCGAGGCCCTATGGCACTGTATCTGTCCATGTTCTAGCAGAGGATTCAGTCTCATTTTGCACATTGGAGAGTAGTGAAGAGAGGCCCGAAATCTTCTGCTAGAACATGGAAACCATACACCGCCTTTCCGCAGATGATTTTTTTTTCTGGACTTTAGCTACGGCCAGACAAGATTCAGGAATTTCTTTTTTTTGGGGGGTGGGGAGAAGATTCAGGAATTTCTTTCCCCTCCTGTCCGCCTACGAATCGCCCATGGAGGCAGCCATGGGCGAGCCGCGACCCCGTGGCCGTGCAACTTTGCGGCCACGTGGCCGCCGGGGGGGGGGGGGGTTGGGGGGGGGGGGGGAAGATTGGGATTGTGCAACCCCAGCCCCACCCCCACAAAAAAAGAAGGAAAAAATAGAAAAACAATTTCTGGGGGTGGTGGTGTTCATTATAAAGGATGATAAGAAAAAACGTGTTTTTTTTCCTTGATTGATTGATTGACGTGCACACACACACACACACACACACAAGTGTGGCAGTGTATATTTCCATGTTCTCACAAACGATTCATTCGATTTTGCTCATCCTATCTATGGAAGTAGCGTGAGGGCAGCCGCGCGGTTGAAGACTTACCTGTTGGTCGGTGCGTTGCTCATCCTATAGATGGAAAACTTCTCTCTCTCTCTCTCTCTCTCTCTCTCTCTCTCTCTCTCTCTCTCTGCCTGTCTCTCTGTCTCTGTCTCTGTCTGTCTCTCTCTCTCTCTCTCTCTCTCTCTCTCTCTCTCTCTCTCTCTCTCTCTCTCTCTCTCTCTCTCTCACACACACACACACACACANCTCTCTCTCTCTCTCTCTCTCTCTCTCTCTCTCTCTCTCTCTCTCTCACACACACACACACACACACACACACACACACACACACACACACGGACACACACGCACACACACACACACACGCGCGCACGCGTGTGACGCCCAACCTCACGCCCAGCGCGACTTCCTGATCGGAGTGGGATGGGGGGGGAGAGGCGGAAGTGCGAAAAGGGGTGTGCCAAGGATTTTTGGAATTTGTGATGGAGTCCCAGGTCAGAACTGAGATCACCTGTGACAACCTTAGGGGCAGCTGAGCAAGATGGTAACCCTGAGTTATGTTGGATCCAGGAGACCGGGCTATCTCCTGTGCGAGTGTCGCCGTGGTGGTCGGTCTTGTATCCGATGGACCGTCGGGACGCGGTGTGTGTCGCGCTGGGCGATTAACTGCTGGCGCCGCTCGCGGCAGACCTCGGAATCCGACGAGGCTGGTCTCAGTCGGAGGCTGTGTGATCGTTGGTCTGCTTCAGTCCGGGTTCGTCGAACGAATACAGCCGTGCGGTAAGCGTGGTCTTGCTGACACTGTGAGTACAGGATCCGGGGCCAGTAGGGGCCGATTGCGCACCCGGGGACTGCCGTAAGGCAGTGGAAGCCTAGAAGGGGGTTACGAGGTGGTAGGGAGCATAATTAGTCTCGACGATGCAATTCCGGTTTCCGCGATGACGTGGCGTGTGTGTGAGACTCAGTGGGGAAATTGCGGCAAGGAGGGGGTCGCGCTTATGGCCTGTTCGATGTCCCACTCGCATACTTGCTCCATTCCAGTGAGGTAAGAAAATTCCGGACACGAGGCCCGGGGTCGCGCGCCTGAAAGGCGCGCTCCCATTCCCAACGCTCCCGGAA